ACCTCAATTGCTGTCTTCGCTGTCTCCCCTACCAACTTGTTGATTTTCATTTACAAATCCTCGAGTTTATGACCACGACAGATGAACCATACACGAAATCTAGATCTCCTAGGGTCTGTTTTTCAGTCCAACGTAAATTTGTCTTCTCATCTCCGTGGTCTTTCACATGATCCAGTCAACCAGATGCAGGATGATTGATACACGCATGATTTTATTTTCCTGCATCACACCTGTTCTGGGCGGAGTTTTCCATTCGTGGAATCTCACAGTCTTCCCAGGATGATCGGTTAACATTTTGCTTGGAGATGACTGCAGCACGATTCCGCAGCAGTTACTGAACAGGCTCACGATGCCCTCTTTTAGAAATTTCAGAAAGTAAGATTTATTCTGATCAGGAGGTATCCTTCTTTCCACACCTTTCGCAACTGTGGCATAGCTTGAAGTAAATAGTAACTCCACCCTCTCTGTAGTTAAATCGCTCTGCCCTATGCACTATGATGTCTTCAAAGTTAGCTTCCCTACCGCTGATTTCGGATGCTAACCTTGATTCCGTAATTGCGATGAAATCCAGATTTTACGAGTGTACTATACTACCCAGCTCAGTCTATTTATTCAACAGATTACCGGCTTCAGTTTAGAAAACCATTAGTTCATTTGCTGCTTCCGCATTCTCCGCATACATGTTTGGGAATTCTGAAACTTCGAAATTTCACTGCCCAAAAACACTTAGTTATGAGGTTTTCCCCACCGTTACTGCTCCGTTCACTTAACTCCAGGCAGCAAACTGTCATTTGATAAGGTTTACTAGACACAAGTCTGCACAGATGTAGATGTTCATTCACTTAAGAGTATGAGCATTTCTCAGAGTTTCATCTGTCTCAGTATTTGAATTTAATATTGTCTTTGAGAATGCTCATCAACTGATTTATTGTTGATTCAAACTTTTGGCCGATTTTATACAAACTGTGAATCCTAATGCCTGTTACTGTTTTAGGGAGTAGCATGTCTGACACTAGTCCGATTAGGCTGAGGTCATGTTCGGACCTGGTAATGGGGTCTGAAGCAAGGGATTTCTTCACATTGTAGGAAATGGGCGACCTGTCAGACAAATCAGGTTTGTTGCCACTGACTTTTTGCTTTGGCGCAACAGTGTCCTTCCATCTTTCAAAGATGATACGCCTTGTGTAGTGTTATGTGTGTTATCCTATGTGTGCTGAGTCAAAATTTTAACCTGTTATTCTTATACCAGTCACTTAATTATCAATGATCGCTAATAAGGAATTCAAAGAATACACAATTAATAAGTCTAATAGAAATTAAAGTGCATCGGTGGCACAGCGGTTAGGACGCTCACCGACCATACACATGGTCCGAGGTTCGATTCCCGGCCGACGCACTCCTTTACCTCGCTAAGCCAAGAACACAAAGCTGGTAAAGAGGAAAGGTTGGGCATGAGGCTAGCAATATCATCCTGTAAAAAAATAAACACTGCCACAGAAACTTCAAGCCTCTAGCTGGAAGCCCTATGTTCCACTGGGAACGTGAAGGAATAAAAAAAGAAATTAAAAGGAAATAAGGTGAAAGTGATAGCCTGTAGATTAAAATCAAATAGCACCATAGGTATAAGGCTTCACGTAAGTGTGCCATCAGTCACCAGACGGTAACCTTAATTACAGAGTACATAGCAAGTGGCTCACCAGACAGTAGAATGCCATTGTATCCATGTTTATAATATTTTTCATCTTAGACTTATGGGTCAGCCACAGTACTCAGTGAACCATATGATCCACCTTATAAAAGAGTCCCCATTTCACCAGCTGTTACACTCATCGGAGCAGATTCCCAGCTAGGACATTTCATCCCACTTATAATCTTAGTCAAATAGAGGTTTTGAGTTATTTAACATTGAATAGATGGCCAAAAGGCACTGCGATGATAATTGTGATACCTGAGTTTGATCATATTGAAAACTTGCTTCGGTACCAAAATAGACTAGGTATTATCAACAAGTCTACTAAGTAGAGACTGTTTAAGTTATTTATGTTGCATATCATATCATTCATTGTCAACTTTGAAAACAGACACAGCGAAGGCAAATTACATTTTTTGCAGTACTTAATGTTTATTTGAATTCGTCGATTCAGTATTTGATGCTCATATGTCCGGGAAGAAATTGATATCCATGAATGTCACGTTTCTTTTCACTAATGTTCCTCTCAGTGAACTTATTTGCTTTATATGCGAATTCATCGAGGATAATACAGTAGACGTAGGTGCATTGATTCACCACTTAAAGGAACTACTATTTAGAAGAGCTTTTAATCCCCAGTTCAAGTTCAGTAACCCTCTCTAAGACAAAGAGATAAAGTGGCAAGGGTGTTGCCATTTGTTCCTTTACTTTCAGACTGCTTCTTGGCAAGTCTAGAGAGTAGCATGTTACGACCTACTATCGGCAATTTTCGTATCTATCAAAGATACATGGATGATACTTTCATCATAGAAATGATAACTAAGGAGTTCAGCAACTGCCATCATGTCATTCAGTTCTCATCGGAATCAGAGATGAACTCGGAATTCCATTTTTGGGATGTTCTGATCTGATGGCCCTCTTCAAAGATCGATCTACAGGAAACCAACATGGAATGGTCAATACATCAATTTTCATAGTTGGGTCCCTTTGAGAAGGAAGAGGAAAGTGATCCACCCCATGTCCTCAAGAATAAGAAGGATATGTGCCAGTGATACAATCGGTGGTGAACCAGGGAGTCTCAGACGAGTCCCCATGGAAAATGGTTATCCTCAAGATCCATCAAGAAAAATATGAAGGTGAAGCGAAAACGCGAAATAACCAAACGGTGCCCAAGAAACTGCTATTTATGAATGTTGAATTTAAGGGTGATAACGCTGCTGAGATTATTGAGGACCGCTTATCAAGATCACTGAGAAAAGCCTTCTTTGCGGCTGAGCTGCGGATCAATTTTTACAACCGACAAATGATCAATAGATTTGCAAAGGATAAACTGCCGCTTTGGACCACTTTAATGTGTGTTTATAAATTCATCTGCTCCTGCACAGCTAGTTATGTTGGCCGCACAAAGCTCAAACTTGTCAAATGCATCTCTGAACATTACCCGGCATAGTTAGCAAAAGGACAATTCAAGACATTTACTAGATCAATTTTCGAGCACTTGATGAATTCAAGCCACGCAGCTATACCAGAGTTGCCATTTTAAATTATCTAAAAGACGAGACCGAATAGTATAATGGGTGCTAGGTTTCGGTATTTGTGCATGGCGGAGACGTTGACAGTTCGTCAATACAACTTCGAATTCTGTGTACAGACAACGTTTGTTCAGTCTCTTATTCTACAGTGGTCTTAGCCTCTTCATTAGTCGTTCCCTGTAAATTTTTTTTATTTTTAATGGTTACTTCGTCTTTACTTTAATATTTGTTTTACTGTTATCATTCTTACGTGTTCCTTTTATACTTTTTCGCACCCTCTTCACAAATTTTAAATCAACACTCAGCTACCTTTCTTCTCATTAAGTAACAATTTTAGCCTTATCCAATTTCTAACTCTTTTTTCCTTTGCACTGGTGAGTATTACGTAATTTGTAACTTTTATTTTTATGACTGTACAACCTCGTCCGTAACAAAACTTTTCTTCGCTGAATTTCCTTCATGACTCAATGTGCACTTTCGGTGATTTAATACTTTTTTAAATTTTAATTAGCAATGGCTAAATACCAGTAAGGCAAACAACAGCACGTCGAGGAAAAAAATTCGTGTTCGGCAGAATTAATTGTAATGCAAACAGGCAGTTATTAGGCGCAAACAGTAATTAACATGTAGACAATACATTAGTGGAAATAATCACTATACTTCAGTACAAAAGAGCTGATAATTTCAACTTGCTCCTCACTACTCTACGTAATAATATGCATAAGATGGATAAAAAGTTTAGAGTAGAGTACAGTGGAAAATTTCAGTGAGATGTATAAAGGAAATTAGACATGAACAAGGAAATAAAATATATAATTCTTTCATCAGTCAGTTAGTATCCTGTACTTTCTGCTGTTCTTCCTCGAAGAAAAACGTCTTCCTTACAGGCGTTTTGCACCAAATATTTTTCAGAGTAACTACAATGTGGCTATTTCAGTAGAGGAGGTAAAAAGAAGAAATGCATTTAACTGAAAAACACCTTTAATTGAAATGCATTGTTTACGCTATATAGTGCTGAAAGGAAGTAAAACAAATTCTATCAGTGGCTTTTATATGAAATTCGAGGTTGGAGACGATATCTATTATGGTTTAGGCATCTAAAACTATTACCACTTTCTAAATTCCTGAAGCCTAACTTCTTATTCATGTACTTGCCTAATGCCTCGTTTTTCTGTCTTATAACAGATGTAAAAGCGTGGACCAACGTAATTACGTTCTTGAATCCACGATGTTCATTTTTACTGTTTGATAAATGAAATGTAGGAATATATGAGAGAAACAGAATAAGTAGAAGGTAAAACAGTGACTGCAGAAAATGGAAATGATTGGTACTATTAAATTTTAAGTAGCAGAACTCAAAGCAAGTCCGTAGAATTTACTGATTACTTAGTGGCAGTCACTTCAAAGAGCTGGGTTCTAAATTACTGATATTCGAGTGTGACCAGCATAATATCGAAGAGTTATAGATTAAAATTCATCAACTCTAATCATGTGATTTGTTCATCAGATATTCTTCTATTGTCTAGTCCTAATAGAAATTATCATCATACGTAAGACAACTGTTTTAATTCACTTTAATTATATAGTTGAATATGATTTAAATACACCTCAGTTACTCACTGTTTTTATGAAAACCTGTCTTTAGACGGATTGAACATTTAGAGAATACGGAAGTTTAGGGAAAACTAACTTCAACTCATAGGTAAATTCGATTGGGATTCAAGTAAAAATTATTGTGATATTAATTCATCACATTAAATTACAAACTCGAAACTTACTTCATTTGAATTAGAATTAACTTCTACAGTTTCTATAAACTTCCTGATATGATCAAACGTTTCTGGCCCTTCAAAATCTATCTGTTCTGTTGATTGCCGAGGAAAAATTTTAATTCTAGGCATTTTTTTGGCTTTCAGCCCTTCATATTCATTTAGCTCATAGTTAGAGTAACCGAATAATAAATCATTGCGACCATGTTTATAATAATGTTCAGCTAATTTTGTAAAATATTCATATATAGTTCGATTGCATCCGATACACCAATTCGCTGCTATAAAATATACATTATGAAATTGACTAGAAATAATAAAAGTTATTAAACATTGAATAACTTTAATTTTAGCTACATATATGAGTTTTTCACCAGCATAAACACACTACAGTATAGGGCTACTTGTAAAAGCATATTAACGCAATACTTTTTGTGACTCCGCCAGAAAGCGCTAAAAATATTGATATTGCATTAGTAATGGTTTAGAAAGGAAAGACGAAGAAAATTTTCAAGTCACATGATAGATAATATGGTGAGCAAAGAAAAGACAGAAGTGAATTCACGTAGACAGCGAAAGCTAGTAATTCATTTTATGATCATTATTAAATATCTGTTCATGATATACAATGCTTGACTATTATAATATGATTTCATAAATAATACAATCCAATCCATTAGTTTTGTTCTCTATAGTGCAAAAATGTTTAATGCATGAATTTGATAAATAAATACATATCAGATGACCAACAGTAACTTAAGTAATTATTTACAAGTCTAATTTACATTCATTTGTTGAAAAGAGATTGTTCATCATAGTTCTTTGTTGAAGATGAAACAGGCAAAAAGATTATGAATTTAAGATTGGTTGTATTACTTTTTTACTTGAAACACACGGGAATGTATAATAAATAAGGTTTTAAATCTCGCAATGTTGCATAAATAAGTTATTACGCTATCTGATGGAAGTTCGAATAAAAACACTCAGGTCTTACTAGTGAAAACTAAAAGAGATAGATACAGTTATAGCTAATTACAGAATGTAATATGTATTTTCACACTCATAAATCCCCTTAAGAAATGGAATAAATTTGTGTACTGTGATAATGAATTATCCAACTAGATGATATTGTATAACCATTACTAGGACTTTAAGGATATCTCTGAAATACCACAAACTGCGAAAAGATTAACATATTTATAGTGCATTTATATCCTTTGTTATTTTGACAAAGGTTTATTAGAGTAGTTAGTCTGTCTTCTGGTACTAATTAAAGTTGGGATCTATAATTACTTATAAGGATTGCATTAACAAGTTTGATTCTTCTGTGAGAAATAGTGTCGAGTTACTTTATTTAGGAGAAGAAGGTAGTAAGTGGGCATTTCCAGTACTGTTCCTCAGAAAACTCACTGAAAACCACAAAATATACTTTCATACATCATGCTACGATGTAACAGTGTACTCAGTTTGCACTATGGGGAGAGATTCCGGTAATTCTTTGAGAATGTTTGATACTTGAATATGTCATTAAAGTTGAATTAAATGATATGTTTATGACTTTCTTCAGTATTGATCCTTTTTTATATATTCCATTCTTTCTCATACGCAAATATCAATTTACGCTTCTATTAACAAGATATCTCATACTATTCGTGTAGTTATTCATTTTTAGAATAAAGTCAACGGTCATCATAATACAAATCGTGTCAATCTGATGTTATAATGAAGCTGACAAAGCTTTCGGTACAGTTTGGTTCAAAATATTTTTTCAGTATACAGTTCTAAGCTTTATAATTCAATTAAAATAACAAAGTGCGAAATGAATCCAAGCTAACTTTTCTAGTTACCATTTCATAAAAGTTGTACAACTTCTTTTACCAATACACTAGCTACCGAAGTCAAACTTAATACGAAATAGAGGAAGAAAAAGTAAGTAATTACTGATTGACTTTTAAAATTAACCTTTGAGAGCATAATGTTTTCCTCAAAATTGTATGTATGAATTATTCAGAGTTTTTGAATGAAGTTTCCAGGATTAGTTTGCTAGGATTAGATTCGTCTCGGGTTTGATGACGGATTGATGTCATTGAGAGGACCACTGGAAACCACGAAGTACTGCTCAGCTGTTCGCCCTGGTTTGAGACTTTTCGGCAGTACGCACTTACCAGGTTTCAGACCCAAGACATACCGGCTGCAGGCGGACTCGCAGTTTATCAGCTACTGGGACCGATACAGTGGCCCAAGAATACCAACTCTTACCAATTTCCGATGTTAACGCGACCACCAGCCAATGTCATTGGTGAGTGTTTGTCCTCACACCTGACCTGGTGAACTCCATTGGTTACAACTTCTCACTGGAACTCCAATTAACTTCATCCTATAGCCGGTCACTAGCGAGTGTCAGATAGAACAAAACCTCTGCACAGAAACGCCATTTATACGTCATTTAAAGTCATTTATAGTAGAGAATGTCTTGTGAAGAGCGAAACTGCATATAATTTCATTACTGGTAACTGATAGTAAAAGAGTGAATATAAGTGTAAGAGACTACCTAAAACGCATATCCTTAAATTAGTGATTGACGTTCGAAGAAGCTGATGACTGTTTTTAGCTACAACGTTATGTTTCATCAGGATGTTTTTAAACTTAGATTTTTTGTTGAGTAAGTTTTGATGAGAAAATTGCACGGATTAAATTTGAGACGGATCCGAATCATCTTAAAATCTCAGTAAAAAAAGTTATAAAAATATGATAGTATAATTATTTTTTCGTCCATTGAAATACTTTACAAAAATTCTAATAAGCAGTGCTCGAGCACATCTATAGAATGCTTGTAAAATTCGATCTTAGTATAAAATACATTTATTAAGCCCACTAACTGAATGTCACAAGAGACATGAGATCTAGACTTTTTATCTGTTGACATTCTCACTTAAACTACCCGACTTCAAGGTTAGAGATCTCACTACTTAACTAAATGGTTCACAACCAACTATGCATAATGTGTGCATGAGTTCATAACCGAATGGGATGATCACTCTGCTCATTAAATCCCAAAGGAATTTCGGGACTCATTAAATTTGAAATAGGTACGTTGAATAACTGATAACTTACTAAAATAAACAACAGATGTCCATTCAGGATTCAGCGCTAATTTGTTAAATGTTGCTCCAACTATTTTGTGTACAAACCTGAGTTTATTCTGAGATGCTTTAGGTACATTACATGAAGGTATATGTGCCAAATTCTCATCGTCATGAATTCCAACATCATCCTGTGGGATAAGTTCACTGATGTAAAAAGGTGATAATTTGTCTTGAAGGAGCCTACTGAAAAATATTTTAATTTCTTCTGTTTCCATAATTTTCGTTAGACTAGGATCGTTAAACTTCTTTTGTCCAAATTCGATATTGCCACCAGTTAAACGGTAATGAAGTGTTGACGTTGATTTCGAATTAACTACTAATTGAAATCGTGGATAACCATAACCCACATGAACACCATGTTGTTTGGCAAAAAGTGAGTTGACTTCACCACTATCAACAAAGTTGCAGCGTATCTATAAGCAATAAATTTGCGAAAAGTAAAAAAAACGATTTTGGTGTTAAAATATACATCACTTGTTCATAACTTGATAGTGCCTATTACGAAACCTGTTAGTCGTGATGCATTGGGTTCCTTTTGTTCAAATGTCTCAAACTAAGCCACAACGGTCATTTATTGATACTTAGATTCCAATGATCATCATACTGACATTTATCAGTGATGAAAAAACGTAAAAATTCTATTTTTCGCATACCTTCCTACTACACAGTCATCTATAAGTCTGTTTATTGTAAGGACACAATGCACCGGTAAGTACTGTCTTCTTAATCTTTCAGCTTGGGGGAACTAGTTATGTTATTTTGGTTCGGTCCTCTGCCAATGTTTTCACCTGGCTCCAAGTCTGTCCACATACTTTCATCTCCTCTTCACATGAACTCCTCCAAGTCATCCTTGGACGACCAACTCGTCGCTTCCTTTTCGGGTTCCACTCGAGCAATGGCTTGTCTAGTGATGTCACTTGATGGTTTCCTCAGTGTATGGCCAATCCACCTCCATTTCTTCCTGCTTATTTGTTGCACAATCGGTTCCTGGTTGGTTCGTTCACTGCCAGAGATCCCTATTGCTGATCCTTTCAGGCCATCTGATCTTGAGTATTGAGCGAAGACAGATGTTAATGAAGGTCTGTAATTCGTTTGAGGTGCTCTTTATGGCGCCCCAAGTCTCTGACTTCACAGTGGAGTTAAAAATCCGCATCTTATTTTTCATGTTGAGTGCTGTTGATCTCCACACAGACTTGAGAGTAATGAAAGCTTGCCTTGCTTTCCCGATCCTCACTTTGATATCCTCGTCAGTTCCGCCTGTAGTTGAAACGATGCTTCATAGGTGGGTAAGTGAAGGAGGTTGCTCCCTTCAGACTCCCCCATTTATGCTGATTGTTGTCTGTTGTTGTTGATGCTGTTGGTGTTGGCCAGGAATCTTCATCACTTCTGTTTTCTCTATGTTTACTTGGAGTCCTATCTTTGACGCTTCCTCTGACAACTTGTTGTTTTTCACTTGCATATCTTCCAGTTTGTAGGAAATCAGACATATATCATCAGCAAAGTCCAGATCCTCCAAGTTTTCTGTGGGGGTCCATTTATGCCTGTTTGCTCGTTGCCCGCTGTCTACCGCAATCAGGAAAACCATTGGAGATAGTAGGCAGCCAGCTTGTCTTACTCCCGTCTTCACTTCGAGGGATTCCGTAAATTTCCCGTTGTGGATTACTCGGCATGCAGCATTGACGTACGGCTGTTGGATGAGATGTATAGTTGTTGGCGCCACCCCGTAGTAGCGAAGTAGTTGCTAAATCACCTCTCAGTCGATGCTGTCGAAGGCCTTTTAAAAGTCGATGAAGTTGAGATAGAGTGCTGACTGCCATTCCAAGCTTTGTTCAATGATGATCCGTAGTTTTGCGATTTGGTTAATGCATGACTTGTTTCTCCTGAATCCAGCCTGTTCCGGTCGAGGTTTTTCATCGAGGGCTTGTTTGATTCTTTCCAGGACGATGCGGCTTAGTATTTTGCTTGGGATAGACAGGAGAATAGTGTCACGCCAGTTCTTGCATTGACTTAAGTTTCCTTTCTTTTGTAGTTTGAATAAGTAGCCTTTCTTCCAATCTGCAGGTACCTTTCCATTTTTCCACACTTTCTCCAGAAGTGGTGTAATCAAGTCCGCTGATGTTTCGGGATCCATTTTCAATGCCTCTGCTAGGATTCCATCTGGTTGTGCTGCTTTTCCGGTTCTTAGCATCTTGATTGCCTTCAGGACTTCTGTTCTCGTCGGGGGGTTGATGTCCACCGGTAGTTCTGCTTCCAATGTTAATATTATTCGGTGCGTTGTAGGTGGCAGTCGATGTGAAAGTCTTTCGAAGTGTTCAGCCAAGTGTTTCCTTTGCTCCACCTCTTTGGTGATTGACTTTCCATTGTCATCCTTCACTGGCTTAATTTGTGTCGAACTTTTGCCCGAAAGGTATCTAGTTGTTTGGTAGAGAGTTGCGGTCTCCTTTGCCTGCAGCTTGTTCTGTTTCACTTGCCATGGCTTCATAATATTTTCTTTTGTCTTCCCTGGCACTCTTCTTTACTCTTTTGTTCATTGTATTGTAGCTTGCATTCAACTCGTCAATGCACTGGATAATCTTTTGTTTCACCATCCACCTCTCTTCTATTAGTCTCCATGTGTCCGTAGTGAACCACCGTTTGCCCTATCTCCTCTTTCTGCCTAGAACTTCCATGTAGGTTTGACTCTGCATTGCTTTCAGGTTGTCCCAGCGCTTCTAAACACTGACCTCTTCGCTAGCGTTTATTTGTGTCTCGGCTTTTTCCCTTATGCTTGCAGTGAAGATGTCCTTTGTATCCTGGTACTTCAGTTTTTGAGTATTGAACTTGGATTGTGGTCTATCTGCAGCTCCTGTTTCTCTGAAGGCTTTTGATTTGATTTGATTTGCGTCGGTGGCACAGTGGTTAGGACTCTCACCGACCATGCACATGGTCCAGGGTTAGAGCCTGCACCGACGCACACCTGATATCTATGGTCGGCCTGCAAAATTTGGGCTACCAATATCCATGCTGAAAATTCCATACTTGTACCGAAAATACAGTGTGGAATCTAGCTGTAAATGAAAAATTAAATAAAAAATTAAAATTAAATAAAATTTGGATTGTCCCTTGTACGGGATAGTGGTCTGAGCCAACGTCTGCTCCTCTTCTTACTTTTGTGTCCAGTAGGCTGCACCTCCACTTCCTTGCGATTGAGATGAAGTCAGTTTGGTTTTTGGTTCGCCCATCTGGTGACACCCATGTAGCCTTGTGGATATCTTTGTGTTTGTATACGCTGCTGCCAGTCACTAGTTCATTGAAGGCGCAGAAGTCGGCGAAGAATTCTCCATTTTCATCCATTTCTCCGAGAGCTTCTCTACCCATGATGTTTCCCTTTCCTGTGTTATCTGGTCCCAGTTTGGCGTTCATGTCTCCCACTAGTATTTTAATGTTACCATTGTTGCCTGTAGAATTCTTTTTTCTTTTCGAGGTCTGCGTTGTTTATGGGTGCATAGAATTGTATAACTGACACTTTCCTTGCTTTGGAGTTGAATCTAGAGGTCGTTGTCCTGGGCGAGATCGCCTCCCATTGTATCAGGGCCTTCGTTGCCGTTGGTGACATCATGATAGCCACGCCCTCGGTGTGCGTGTGGTTATCTTCTGGGTGACCGGAGTAGATCACTGACTCACCTGTTGACAATTTGGTGAGTCCACTCCCATTCCATCTGCTCTCACATATTCCCAGCACTTGTATTCCGTATCTTTTCATCTCGTTTGCGATCTGGGCAGCTTTGCCAATCTCGTACATGATGCGGACGTTCCATTACTCCACACAGACGTTTTCTTTTGGCATAAGGAGATTCATCGTGCTGAAGTTTCTGTAGCAACTTTGTTTACAGGATGGTTTTGCTAGCCTCACGCCTGAGAAGGGGGTTGTTACATTATAATATAGTTTACAGAGAAGCGACCTTCCATCAATATATACAGTTATAGATATTAGTTAGTGTTAGACAGTCACAAAATGGCAAGCAGACAGTTATAGGTATTATCGGTCAACAAGATTGTATCCACAGATTTAATGTTCGAAAGACAAATAATTACAATAAGTCCCACAATTTATTGGCAAGAAATCCCACAGAAACAAGAGTTTTATGTAACTAAGCAAATGTGGCGTAGTAATCGAAAAGCGCTTTCAAACTAATTAATTATTCTAACCCTTTATTTTTTCAAAGGGTTGTATTTACTATGAATTTCTTAAACAAACATGCTCTTGTATTATTTAAAGTATATAATAAATAAATAAAATAAGATTAACACATTGGTTATGCTCTCACTAGCTTATTTAATGATAAATATGAGTAATCAACAATAAAAACATAATATGATTTACCCCAACGATTAGTTCCTATGGAGTGTGGCGACAGTACATGGAACATTTGACGAACCAGAGCACTATTCGTTAATTATGCCTAAATCCTTAAGAAAAATCAATCCGATGTAGATGTATACGGCTTTGCTTTCATAAAATTTAGTCTGTTGTAGTTTCACAGAGTTTACACACTACACTTGAGAGTTAGCTTTAGATCAGCATTTAGAGCAACCACTTGGATTGTTGATATCCAAGAGAAGAATTCAGTCGCATAAGTCATCCTTACCTAAATGCATGCAACTAAAACTTTTCATTTTTCCTGTTCAAAATACACCTCTTCCAGCATGTGTGTTTCTGACGATGTTGTCAACTAACCTACTCATTTGCATGAAACTACATATCACTGATTGATTGAAGTGAGTAGTTGTATGCCGTTCATATCAACCAGTAGCGCTTGCTAGCCAGATTTGGGTGATCTAAACACTGGAAAGTCATTTCGCTCGTTTTGGAGCGAGCTCATCAGTGGTGAAATTTCACCTCCCCAGACTTTGTAAACCGCAGATCATGAATATGATCAACTTATTTACACTATGGCATTCGAAATTTTTCTGCTTCATCTTAGTACTGCTGGCAGGGTAATCTCTATTATTTCCATACATATATATTGATTGGATATTAAGGAAGTGTCAAAAGTGGAAATAATGTCTTATAGTTCATTTGACTGTGTGAAGGCAAGTTAGTTGCATCAAAACTTTTCTAAAGAATGTCTGCACTTTGTTTCACTTGAATAAATGTTATTAAAAGCATGACTACTGTTGATATAATGTAAACACTAACTTGGCTAGGAATTTCTAAAACAAAACCAGCAAACGACTCACTGCATAGAAATTTCTTATGTTGATCTACTGGATCGTAAAACATATTTGTCGGCTTATGCTGAAATAGTTACAGCTGGACGAGAAACACAATATCGTACAATCAGGTGCTCCAGTCAACTAAGTATATATCCATACGTTAGGTTGTGTTCACCAAACAGGTTCGAAGATTAATTAGATATCATGTGGGATTGCCTAAGGCGAAATGGATATCCTAAGGATTTATACAGAGTTGTAGCAGAGAAAAAGTTAATAAATAAAAGCGTCCAACCGTAGAATCGAAAAAATTGGTTATTTTTCTACCATAACAAAGGAGACGCAGTGTCACAAAAAATCGACAAAAGACTGAAAGTTGCAATAAATAGAAGCTTCCCGGCAGCAAATTTCATAACCGTATACAGCATCACTATTTCTATAATCCACTCAAATCTGGATAAATACCCTGCTGATGTCACCTCCAACTGCGTTTATGAGTTCACGTGCACTTGCGGGAGCAAGTACATTGGAAGGATAGAAAGAAGGGCTTCTATCCGGTTCTTTGAACATATTAACAGAAACCTGTGCCTGAAGGGAAGCAGATATTTCCAGAGTGCAATTACCAGACACACTGTTGATACCGGACATCTCGTAGAGATTTCTAAGTCCTTCAAAATATTGAATAGACATAGGACAGCAAATTTTCTACGATTTGCCGAAGTGATCACATTCAAACGACTTAAACCAGACTTATGCATACAGAAAGAGAGTGTGATTAACCTCTCACTCCCTTGGTAACAAAATTTTGATTTTGATTAGTCATCTAGTTCACTGATCTCAACTCAATGAAGAAATCTTAATCTCATAAACTGTAACTGCTTTTGTTTTTCGAGTCCCTGTGTGAACCTGAAAGCTGTTATTGTCCTGTTAATCAATTTTTTCTGTTTTCTGTCTTGCTTCTCCTCCCTCTTTTCAACTTTAAAAGCGTATAAATTTATGATGAAAACTTAAACTAAAAAAGTGTAATGCTTTCATTTTGGATGAGTCAATTTTATAGTATCTCTTCTCTACTACCACTCAAAGATTAAAGTATGTTATTATCACCTATAAAACCATTGTGATTTCAGGTAATCTGCATCTGATGAGAACCTGTGAAATAGAACGATATCATTCTATACTGCAAATTTCGTCTTCCTTTCATTATCGAAATTTATCAAGGGAACCAAATGTATAAAGTTATTTCTCACTACAATAGTTACATTCAACCGCAGCAGAAAAACAGCAACATTATTTAGGCATAGATAAACTGTTTGGAGCACTCTATAATTACGGAAATCAAAATTATCTACTTCTTCAAAGCATTTAGAGCTAAAAGTTATTTTGGTTAAAGGAGTTATAATTCATAGACCACTGAACTTAAACTGACGTGTCAACCTAATAAAGTGAACGCCTTAAGTTTGATTAAAGATGTGGTTGTTCATGCGCGCCGCTGAAGATTCTCAAACTGGTACAAAACAGCTGTCAAATCCTTTTTGGCTACCAATGATTTCCAAATTGTTGCCGGTGCACAAACTAACTTCTTCAATTACTTCGGTGGAAATATGAAAGGGAAACCGATGTGGAAATCAACAGCTCAGGGACATCCTCTGATTTTTTGACATAGATGTCAAGTCGGTACTTCTAAATCATTCGTATAATTGGTGCAAGCGTTACCAAAGGAATTTCCAACAAGTTGTTTCATCAACAGTTATCTCCGCTGAATTGAGATTGCAAAACACATGTCGCACCGGAATCGAGAAGTCACCAAGAACTCTGCCGAACGGCAGGCAAAAGAACAATCTGCTGCTCAAAAATAACCAAACCGAAATGCAGATGAATAGCACACATGCTGAGGAGACCATCGAGCGACATCAGATGCCAGGCTGTAGAGTGGAATCCTAGTAGGAAGTGGTAAGTTCGGCATCCGAGACTAATATAGAGAAGATCGTATGAGGAGAAAATGAAACCATATGAGCAACTTTGAAGTTAACTAAGAAGACTACTGAGAACAAAGTGAAATGGCGATAGGCTGCTGAAGCCCTGTAATCCACTAGGAACGTAAGGGACTAATAATAATAAATTCCTGTGGACATCTGTGAATACAGCACCAAGAATAGGGTACTTTTAATGTCTAGTGAATCAAACCAATAATACTGCTTACCAAAAATTATGATGCAATTACATTTTGTTTTGAATAAGCTTGCTTATATTATTCGCTCACTTTGTTTTAGCGCTGACAGTTAAAAGAATATGAACTTCAAAGACAGAATATTTTTCTAACATATGAATAACTCAATAAGTTGGGCATTTGGCGTTGATAGAGAACCACTTATAAGCCCAAAGTTGGCAAATTATCCCCTTATATCACCTAAAAGTTGCTTGTTCAGTTTCAGTGACCCATCTGTGCCAATCCTATTTTAGCTCACATATATGGCAACTTGATATACAGAATATTTTTCCATATTCCTCACTTCATAACTGCTTCAGTCATATCATTTGTGCCCTGAGCGGCTAAGATTCGAATCTACACAATGAAAAAAATCATTCTTATGCTAACTTATACTACTTGCAGATTAAAATCCGCATTTCTCGGAAAGACTTTATTTTATTCTTATAACATTTGCTTAATTAGTACTGAGTACATTAGAAGTGAAAAGGATTTCATTTAACTTGAACACAAGTCATTATAGCAAAATACCTTCTGTGTACCGTTGGATAAGAAGCAGCAATCACAAAAGATAAATACTAAACATTTCTACGTAGAGGTCAACTACAATGGAAGTTATTGTTTATTCTAGCTGAAATCATTTTGATAAAGAAAATTATGAAACTATAATCAGGGTCACTTAATAATCGATGTATGGCTCACTGTTCATCATAACTAAAACTGAAGAAGCAACAAATGGAATATACAGATACCTGTAGATTTAAACTCTACACATGTTTGCATAATTTTTGATATGTGCGTAATTTCATACTTCTGGGAGTAACTTGTGAAAATGCCATACTTTAGAAGCCAATGAGAATAAAGTCCATGTTAACCTGGAGTTTAGACAAGTTGACATTTATGTTTAAACTTTGAGCTGCCTTATGATCATTTAAAATGGAAAAAATTCACCCTGTTACATTGTTCACCTGACCAATGAACTTGAGTCAGCATTTGTTGTCATCTGGTGGTAGACTTGTCTAAGTTAACCATGTATTCGATAAATATCTCATGCTAGTCGCAATACGTTGACGTTCAGTTGAATGATACAATATTGTATTGGTAAACTAAGAAGATGAAAGCATAATCTCTTATAGTAAATCTCATGAAATCTTCAAGTAAGTTGGATAATAATATAAACTATGATCATCTTAGCTTACTGAATAGCATATCAATATACCTTTCAGCAGTATCTTACAAAAGACCTTTATTAGAAACTGAAAATTTCAGTCGTAAGTAAACTTCTTGACATTTGATTATATACATCAGTTATTCAGATCACTAGACAGTTGAATAATCTAGCTACTACACTCTCATACCTGACACTGAGCAAAATAACCATGAGTTTCAGAAATACAGCGTTTTTTTAATGTTCGAGTCACAATTTACCGACTAATGAAGTGGGAATGAAGAGTTAGGAGCATTTAACAAGATAATATTAATAGTTCAACATTCAGTCAAACAAATAATTAATTTTTCTATTTTCTTTTCTTTTCCGTATAACTAAGGAAATTCTGTAGAAATAGAAAACTGACGAAATATCTTAAGTTTACAACTTGACCTATAGTGGCCTATTCATAAAAAGGTGAGATACTTCAAAAATGTGAAATAATTTATTAAACGTATATTACCGAGTAAATTTTCTCTAAGTTTACAAATAATAAAAAAGAAATTTTATTATTTTTATTTTAAATTGTCAACTCATGTTTATTTCAGTCAATTTGTATGTCTAATATAATTAAACACTTATTTTATAGTTCACTTGAATTTTTATTAGTTGTCAATAGATGACAGTTGATTGAAAAAGCTCGTGTGAAAGTTCACTTTAACGTATGTTCAGGTGTTGAATAGGAAACAGTACTTGAATAAAAAGATTACATACCACTATAAACTTCTTATAAGGATTAGCTTCGCTAAATAAAAAGGAGGGCTGTGGAATCTAGAGCTAGCATAAGAATATAGAATTATTCAAGTGCTTTTCATGGTAAGTCAATAATCATTAACCGGAAAATAACTTCATTATATATATATATATATATATATATATATATATATATATATATATATATATATATATATATATATATATATATATACCATGAGCACTGCATATTCAAATTTGATCATGAAATAAAATTGGAGTAGCAGCTACCGATAGCATCAAAGCAACTGTTATTTGAATTTCATGCTGTCAATTTGGTATGTAGCCATTACGACGTGTATGCAATACTATCAAGTTTGTGCCGTCCATAAATGTGTCTTTGCCGGCATACCTGAGATTGATAAGTCCGATCATACTTGTAAACAAAAGCTCTGGTTCATGTCCACAGTGAAGTTTTTGAAGCTTTTAGCTCACATACAGGAACACAACATCCCATTAATTGTAAGCGAATCATCTGAAAACTAACACCAGTTTAAAAGCGGTATCTGGAATATATTTTTGTGTTGCTGGTACTGTACTGAAGCAAGTTACAAATATCTTTACAAGAAACAGGTTTTAACTATTATACAATAAGAATAAGTATGCCAAATAATTATTTATAGTTGGGTGTAAGTCGTTTTCTATTCTCACAGTTAGTTTTACCGACTGTAGACATTTCGCATATTATTAGCTGTTCAAACATTTAATATCATAATTGAACATGAATTTGACACAATTATCGCAGTCTCTTCATCTGCTAATCCTCCTTCCCATTCGCTTTTCTAGATTTCAGATAAATATGTATTCAAGAAGACTGTTTCTCGTACAATTTGAAATCCTATGGATTTTATCCCTACCTATTATCATTTATTCTCTGCATAATCAGAATGGCAGTATTGTTAGTGAAGTTGAACATATTGATAATACTACCCTTTATCAAATATTATCAGTGGAGAAACACGTTGTTGTTTACTTCTGTAAGTTGTTAATGTTTGTTTCTTTATCATTGTTAAATTACAGTAGAATTAAAATTGGTTCCATGTAAAACTTGAGAAATGATAAATAAAAAAGTGGATGTAAAGTGAAATGATAATGATTTGAATGACACCTTTGTTCAAGTCAGTTATGGGACTGATGCCAAACAATTTTTTTATTAGTAAACTGTATACGCTGTTATAGTAGTGATGACTTTCACAGCTGTGTGCTGAATCTTGAAGGGGCGAATGTGTCATCACACTATCATCAAAATATATTCGTTCAGGTGTTTTATTCCTGGGAGAGCTAGTAAACTAAGCAAGAACATGTGAAGTTATACCAGTTCACCGACGATTGTAGTATTGAAGAAAGATGTATAAAGTTTGTTTAATGCATAAATCACTTTGTCATGTAATATAATAATATAACATAATATTGCATATTATCACTTTTAAATTGAGCATAAGCACATGTTCCCTCTATTTTTATCAAAGAGAATAATTAAATAAGATATAGCTGTCTGTACGGAAATGTTGATAACAAGTGTGTGAGACGAATAGAGTTCAGGTAATTCCTCTGCCTAATATATTGGTACAACAAGTAACTGGTATATTTTGGAAATATATACATCCTGCAACACTCAGTGAAAGATAAGTTATACTTTTACTAACCATTGCTTTTAAAAATGAAAAACATAAGCAAAGTAGCTAGACAGACAGAACTGTGCAGAACTTCCAGTGTTTATTCTAAAACTCATAAATGAAATATTTTTACTGCGCTTCGCTGTTACAGCCCCTTCGTGAGTTGAACATCATGTGCATCAAATGCAGAATGTATAATCACAAAAGTAGGAAATAATTATAATGCTTTCTGAATGTATGATAACTTGCATGGAAAATTGTGATATAATTGGAAAACCTAAGCCAAAAGTCTCGGAAGCATGTTGATTTTAAGTGTGGTCTGAAGTGTGAAAAGACGTCATCAGGCGAGACACTGGAAACTAAAGAACCACTAAAAGCCGTTATTTACTCTATCTTGAGTGACAGATAATTAAGAGAATATCCAAGTGTTGGTTTGTAAGGATTTGATTAGTGACAGGATTTCATTATGAGCTGACATTGGTTAGAGAACCATTGGAAAGCCTAGCAGCACTGGATATCTGCTTCATTTCAGTTTGGGACTCATCAGCAACACGCACCCAACGGGGTTTGAACCCAGGACCTTCTGATTACAAGGCGAGCTCGTAGACCATTAAGCCACTATAACTCGATCCAATGGCCCATGAATTCTAACTTCTTGCCAGTTCACCAGAACCCCAGGTAACTACTTACCTGAATAGGGTAAGTCGCCAGTGAGCATCTCATCGATATTCAAGTGTTGGGTTCTAGTGAAAAGCCGTGACCAATAGGGTGTAGCAGGTCGGTTGTGAGGACAAATACTCGCTGAAGACATTGGCTAGTGGTCGCGCTATGTCATGAATTGGCAAGAAGTTAGAATTCATGGGCCATTGGATCGAGTTATAGTGGCTTAATGGTCTACGAGCTCGCCTTGTAATCAGAAGGTCCTGGGTTCAAACCCCGTTGGGTGAGTGTTGCTGATGAGTCCCAAACTGAAATGAAGCAGATATCCAGTACTGCTAGGCTTTCCAATGGTTCTCTAACCAATGTCAGCTCGTGATGAAATCCTGTAATTAAGAAAATCTTTTGCGCATCACAACAATTGCCTTTCAGCTCTCACTTTTGCAGACCTACTTTGTTCTGTTTTTTACAATTTACTAAAGAAACTTCCGAGTAAGAGGCACAAGTTTAATGCCGTCATAACCGAGATTTCTGGCCTGGGTGAATATTTCTGGTATTGTATTGTCCTGTGATCTTAATTATTTAATTAGGTCACCTTCTGGATAAAATCTTCACCACTTCGTTCAATGAGACTTTATGTTGAAGTTAGCTCTGAATGTATTGCATAGAACAGAAATGAGAACTTCGCAGTTAAATTTGTATAGTTTGCTTGACTGTTTTAGCGATGATCTATAAAAAAATTTACGGTGATATAATGAGAGGTGCTGGTAGAAATACTAGTACTGTAATGAAGACTGTTGTGTTATAGGCTATGTCATACAAAAGTGTAAAAATTAACCAAATATATTTTGAATAAATATTTGAACAAGGAATACCTCAAGTGAGACTAATGGTAAATTCTTTCAGTTTGCATATTCAAAACGTTACTCATTGAAGATGTCAGATTACTGAATTAGAATAAAGTACAAAATCCGGGACTCAGTGATCATAATCTCAACAGTGCATAGGATTACAGGTGCCAAGTGTTGACAACTTCAGAACTAAGACGAAACAGTTGTCCAGTTCACTTTTTTCTCCAAGCAGAATCTTATATTTAGGACAACTTCATTGATACAAATTCCTTTCACAGAAACTGTCAGCAAGGATTTGTTTTTCACTGTAAACTGATTAACGCTTCTAACTCTGTTTACCACTTTATCGTTATTTCATCGATCATAGGTAACAGAGAAATCCTAATTATTGTTGTTATGAATAAGAACCAACTGCAGAATCAATTGCATAAGTTTGCTAAACTAAGAATGTCCTAGGTGATTTCAGCAGAAGTTACTTTTTATTACTTTTTGAACTACAGCGTAAATTTATCTTCAACAGTTTTGGGATTAATTTGTTCAAGTGTTTGATTTATGTATTTTTCCAATTGTAGATAAACACACCACAAAGCAGAAATCAATTATCAAACAGTATCATGACATGGTTAATAAAATTAATGAAAGTGGACTTCCAGTTTTAGCATTTACCCTCTGTGCTACATACTATGAAGATGTGGTAGAAAAATTAAATATTTATGTGAGTTCATATACATATATATATATATATATATATATATATATATATAACACATTAATAAAATGCAGGCTTTATTTACTATACGTACTGGACACTTATAAGTGAGGTCAAGTGTTTATAAAACTTGGTTTGTGTTATATGTATTACTAACCATGCACAATGGCATGCTTCACTCATTCAGAGGATGGGAATGGTCTGAGATATGACTAACTTGTAGTTTTTAGCATGCGATAGTACTTTGCTAAGCTCTGCATGGTGTTTTGCGGGATAGGCTAAACCCGAACGAATAATCATGCATCTGATCCTGTTTTTGTTTTTCTAAGTATCGTTCATCTTTGTCAGCTTCGAACTAGTGTTTGGCAAGGATTGCGGTTTGACAGCAGAAAAACAACCATTTTCTGTACATCATGGGTTCTGTACACTATTCACGCATGTACATTAGAAACGACAGTATTCAGAGATGCTTCAAATTTTCTGGATAAGCGTCGTAAAGGTAAAAGGAAGTAATTTATCATTTGAAAACGAAACGCTTTCATAGGCGAAAATAACCTAGGTTTTTAACTATGAGAGAACATCGGTGACTACAGTGAATACCTTACAGAAAACAATTTTCAAAGAACTCTCTGTCAATATAAAACAGATTTTATGAAACAGTCAAATGTACACTTACATATAAGCACTTCTGAGGATTTTCTTTGGTAGTTATTATTAGTGCTACTTTATGCATGTTTTTCAGTGTCATTACAAGTCTAAATCATTAACATTTATGCTATTATCCCATTGCTCTTATAACCCATTTTAACATCACGTTTTATTTTGTTTAAAACGCAGTCGCCATCGATTACATACTTTTACAACGGTGGGCAATTAAAATATGAATTTAAAGAAACGAGAGGAATCAATGAACACAACACCAACTTAATGTATGAATGGATAAAACAAAAATTAGCTTCCCCTATAAAGCTGTTAAGAAATTTAAATGAAGCAAAAGAACTTGTCAGTAACAATAAATTGATTTCAATTATCTTTATGAAGGTAAAGTCATAAAAATGTATTCGTGTATACGGCTTGTGAAGAAAAATCATTAAGCCATGAGTCTGCTAATATTACATGTTACTTTCATGAAAATTAAACGGTTTTGTAGTAAATTTAATGGTCGACAAGAATTTTTTTACTCACAGTGTCTTAATAACTGCCAATTATTCTATGTTATCATAAAGCATTAATTTCATACGACACAAAGCGACCGATCGAAAATATAAATAAGTTGTTAATATTCATCAGTAAACAACAAATTTTAATCCGATTTGTTGGAATATTTACGTATGTACTACTTGATATCTTCTTTTAAGAAAAGCCAGAAATTGTCATCAACAGTAGAAAAACAGTCGGAGTATTCTGAAGATACAAAACATTTCCCTTGATTTAATTGGCAAATAACTGACTTAATAATTGTTTAAGAATAATGATAGAAGTGATCGAAAAGCTTAGCAGATCAAGGGGTTAAAATCTGCGCTGAAGATTTTGTCTAGAAAACAATGAAAGCTTAACTGTGAGACCGTCCAGCTCAAAGAACACAGCTACACCAAGGATGATAAGAGTTTTGCCACAAAGGATTTTTTATAAGTATATTCATAAAAATCATTTTATCATGTAAGTTTAGCAAAACCTTGAAATAGTACTATGTATTGCATAGTGGTTATTTTAGGTTTTAGATTTGAGCGCTTAGAAATATTAAAAAATAAAGACTACTTCAGTTCAGCAGTCAAATACTAGAAGCATGTAATACCAAGAGCACATTTGAAATAGTAATAAAATATCAGTGAATTCAATTAGTCAGCTAAAAAGTAATTTGAACACTGAATACTTCTGACGCACAACATATCAGGTGATACAAAATGACATTTCATTATTGAGTATGATTTATTATTTGATACGTTATTTGTGAGTCGTATAACTTTTATAAATAAAGGGAAAGATAATAAGTCTGTAGCAGTTCAACGCTTTGAACAGTAGTGTTGTGCATATTTATCAATCAGACTTGTGTTAAGTAATCTCTAATTAACTTATTCAAAGTAATAACTAAGGTGTTTCTATTTCTCCCGAACGTACCTATTAATTGTATGAAACAAGTATTTGAGAAAAAGGTTATTCTAGCTCGTTTGCGAAGTATCTACCTCAAAGAACACAACTACATCAAAAAACGTCATTCTCTTTGAATTTATTTTAAAGACTACACAATCATACGAATTTCAATGAAGCTCCTTGTAGATGATAATTTTTTTAGTTTCTGTACTCATATTTAATCAAGTATATTACATTATTGATTAGATAATTTTAGGCTACAACAAATTCACAGCGAACCAAGCAAGAACCGACTGATCAACAAAGACGTAGAAAAAACGTGGATTTCGACTGAACAGACAATAAAGAGACTGTTTAGTGGTATCACACAGCAGGCAGTCGCTTGAGTGATACATGTATTGAGAAGCGACGAGATGGACATCCGATGTTGAAATGAAGATCATCTAAAGAGAAAATGAAAGTTACGTAGTAATAGTGGAAAAAGCTAAAAATGATGGCAAATACTAGATTAGAATTAAGATATGATGCTGAAGCTATGTAACTTACCTGGGACAGGAGGAACCAGAAATAATGAGGCAAAGTCGTAAAGTAATTTCAAACAAACATAAACGACATAAAATGTTCTCTTACTAGACATTTTAGTATGCTAACTAGTTGGAGAACATATGTTCGAACCTCTGTTGTCATGAAAACCTTTTAAATGACTTCCTTATTATATCTACTCTTAAAAGATTTCTCTGATACAGTCAAGCTATAGAAGCATTCTTCCTATATTCTATATGTCTTTTATTGAATAATATTCAGTTTAGAAATAGTTATGCTAGACGTATGAAGGATGCTACAGAGGATAACATTATGCGCAAATATTAAACGCCATCTACCTATACTATGATTACTGATGAAGAGTTTAGGGAGTATTATTCATTTTAGGAAGGTGTGAAGAAAGTCTAATCTAAAAGTGCAATGAGCGTCACCTAACTGTATACCTTAAATGTCATGTCTTATGACCGAAAATGCCAAGTTTTTCTGTATGAAGTTCCCAGTTTATCATGAACCTACTTTTCGGTTCTTATTAGGTGGCACTGAAAATAAAAAGTAACGAATAATAGGAATCCTGAGATGAAAACTAAATATAATCCAACTTTTAATACAATTATTTCTCTTTATAAATAAAAGAAAAGACCTTCAGCGGTGATAATAATAATAATGGTGATGAACAAAGTTGTCTATTGGTGCTTTTATTTTAAATTCCTACACTTATTTTCTATGCATTCCTTTACAGGACATCAGCCAAGAAGTACTCAGTAATCTTAGTTTTGTCGCTCAACAAGTTGATTATATTGCCTATGGTTTAGTTTATAATCGAACAGTTCATGATCACTTCAATGTAACTGATCAGAAATTATTGCTCATTAGAAAAGAAACGAATAACGCTGAGGTATTTAGTAATTTTTTTTCAGACTTATTTATATTGTTACAATCTGGAAATTTATTTAATTTTATTAACCACCTTCCGATACAGTAGATAAATGAGTGAATTTGTACCTCAACCTATATCACTGAGTATTTGGAATGAACATCATTTCTCAAGTATATCTAATTCATGCGGGAGTAGTTTCTCCACAAAAAACAAATAACAAAATTAACAGTCTGGTAACTTAACTAATTCACTAAGATGTGACTGTTTGCATAACAAAGTTTTTCAACTTGAAGAAGAATTTCATATTTTACACATGCGATTATAGGGAGAGAGGTGGCTACTGGTTTTGACACTACTCACTCCAGCACTTCCAGCTGAATCCCATGACAACAATTTTACAAATTATTCAGCTGTCGTAAATGTCATATTTTGATTGTACATAACCTGAGCTTAAACTGTTTGAGAAGAAGGTAAAGTTTCTAAGCAGTTTGTCAACAAATTCAGACAAGCACTCTGAGTGAATCTTAATGTTAATGAATAAGCGGGATTTAAACTTTAATCCTAACCCAATAGTTTACAGACTGATGTGACAAACCATGAAGTTCAGAACATTTAGTTATTTTTATTTACATCCTTAACGTAATTTTAATGTACACCTAAGCCCTTAATTCTTGATTTGTTTAACCGATTTATTTACACTGAACCAACCTATTTAGAAAGAATTAAAATGTTATTCTAATTCATAAGCATTCATGTTGTTCTCTCCAGATCATTAATTCAAATTATTCAGAAAATTGGGACATTGAATCGTTGGTTCGTTTTTACTAACTGAATCTTTTCCATACGTCGCTGAATACCAACCTACTGAACTAACCCATTTCGATAGTAGCAAAATCAGATTTATTGCATATTTATTCCTTTTACGCTGTGATCCAGAGTTTTCTCGAATAATATACAATTACCAGGAAGCATGTAAACTCTTTCGAAAAACGGTATGTTGAGTATTTTTCTACAGCAAGATATATGTGGACTAAGGTTAAATAATCGGTGAGTGTAAACTTTTGATACAGTCGAAACAATCAATAAAGTTTTCTCAGGGATTAGGCTACTAGCCAGATTTATTTTTAAAGAGCGTATTGTATCGCCTGCCTCTTTACGAGGCAGCAGACAAAATAGGAGTTGAACGCGAACAAACTGATTGAATTCAAGTTTGATTAAACCTATGGATGTGTACCTAGTTAACTGAAGCACTTGATTGTACGATATTGTGTTTCTCGTCCAGCTGTAACTATTTCAGCATAAGCCGACAAATATGTTTTACGATCCAGTAGATCAACATAAGAAATTTCTATGCAGTGAGTCGTTTGCTGGTTTTGTTTTAGAAACTCCTAGCCAAGTTAGTGTTTACATTATATCAACAGTAGTCATGCTTTTAATAACATTTATTCAAGTGAAACAAAGTGCAGACATTCTTTAGAAAAGTTTTGATGCAACTAACTTGCCTTCACACAGTCAAATGAACTATAAGACATTATTTCCACTTTTGACACTTCCTTAATATCCAATCAATATATATGTATGGAAATAATAGAGATTACCCTGCCAGCAGTACTAAGATGAAGCAGAAAAATTTCGAATGCCATAGTGTAAATAAGTTGATCATATTCATGATCTGCGGTTTACAAAGTCTGGGGAGGTGAAATTTCACCACTGATGAGCTCGCTCCAAAACGAGCGAAATGACTTTCCAGTGTTTAGATCACCCAAATCTGGCTAGCAAGCGCTACTGGTTGATATGAACGGCATACAACTACTCACTTCAATCAATCAGTGATATGTAGTTTCATGCAAATGAGTAGGTTAGTTGACAACATCGTCAGAAACACACATGCTGGAAGAGGTGTATTTTGAACAGGAAAAATGAAAAGTTTTAGTTGCATGCATTTAGGTAAGGATGACTTATGCGACTGAATTCTTCTCTTGGATATCAACAATCCAAGTGGTTGCTCTAAATGCTGATCTAAAGCTAACTCTCAAGTGTAGTGTGTAAACTCTGTGAAACTACAACAGACTAAATTTTATGAAAGCAAAGCCGTATACATCTACATCGGATTGATTTTTCTTAAGGATTTAGGCATAATTAACGAATAGTGCTCTGGTTCGTCAAATGTTCCATGTACTGTCGCCACACTCCATAGGAACTAATCGTTGGGGTAAATCATATTATGTTTTTATTGTTGATTACTCATATTTATCATTAAATAAGCTAGTGAGAGCATAACCAATGTGTTAATCTTATTTTATTTATTTATTATATACTTTAAATAATACAAGAGCATGTTTGTTTAAGAAATTCATAGTAAATACAACCCTTTGAAAAAATAAAGGGTTAGAATAATTAATTAGTTTGAAAGCGCTTTTCGATTACTACGCCACATTTGCTTAGTTACATAAAACTCTTGTTTCTGTGGGATTTCTTGCCAATAAATTGTGGGACTTATTGTAATTATTTGTCTTTCGAACATTAAATCTGTGGATACAATCTTGTTGACCGATAATACCTATAACTGTCTGCTTGCCATTTTGTGACTGTCTAACACTAACTAATATCTATAACTGTATATATTGATGGAAGGTCGCTTCTCTGTAAACTATATTATAATGTAACAACCCCCTTCTCAGGCGTGAGGCTAGCAAAACCATCCTGTAAACAAAGTTGCTACAGAAACTTCAGCACGATGAATCTCCTTACGCCAAAAGAAAACGTCTGTGTGGAGTAATGGAACGTCCGCATCATGTACGAGATTGGCAAAGCTGCCCAGATCGCAAACGAGATGAAAAGATACGGAATTCAAGTATTGAAAATATGTGAAAGCAGATGGAACGGGAATGGACTCACCAAATTGTCAACGGGAGAGTCAGTGATCTACTCCGGTCATCCATAAGACAACCACATGCCCACCGAGGGCGTGGCTATCATGATGTCACCAACGGCAACGAAGGCCCTGATGCAATGGGAGGCGATCTCGCCCAGGATAACGACCTCTAGATTCAACTCCAAAGCAAGGAAAGTGTCAGTTATACAATTCTATGCACCCATAAACAACGCAGACCTCGAAAAGAAAAAAGAATTCTACAGGCAACAATGGTAACATTAAAATACTAGTGGGAGACATGAACGCCAAACTGGGACCAGATAACACAGGAAAGGGAAACATCATGGGTAGAGAAGCTCTCGGAGAAATGGATGAAAATGGAGAATTCTTCGCCGACTTCTGCGCCTTCAATGAACTAGTGACTGGCAGCAGCGTATACAAACACAAAGATATCCACAAGGCTACATGGGTGTCACCAGATGGGCGAACCAAAAACCAAACTGACTTCATCTCAATCGCAAGGAAGTGGAGGTGCAGCCTACTGGACACAAAAGTAAGAAGAGGAGCAGACGTTGGCTCAGACCACTATCCCGTACAAGGGACAATCCAAATTTTATTTAATTTTAATTTTTTATTTAATTTTTCATTTACAGCTAGATTCCACACTGTATTTTCGGTACAAGTATGGAATTTTCAGCATGGATATTGGTAGCCCAAATTTTGCAGGCCGACCATAGATATCAGGTGTGCGTCGGTGCAGGCTCTAACCCTGGACCATGTGCATGGTCGGTGAGAGTCCTAACCACTGTGCCACCGACGCAAATCAAATCAAATCAAAAGCCTTCAGAGAAACAGGAGCTGCAGATAGACCACAATCCAAGTTCAATACTCAAAAACTGAAGTACCAGGATACAAAGGACATCTTCACTGCAAGCATAAGGGAAAAAGCCGAGACACAAATAAACGCTAGCGAAGAGGTCAGTGTTTAGAAGCGCTGGGACAACCTGAAAGCAATGCAGAGTCAAACCTACATGGAAGTTCTAGGCAGAAAGAGGAGATAGGGCAAACGGTGGTTCACTACGGACACATGGAGACTAATAGAAGAGAGGTGGATGGTGAAACAAAAGATTATCCAGTGCATCGACGAGTTGAATGCAAGCTACAATACAATGAACAAAAGAGTAAAGAAGAGTGCCAGGGAAGACAAAAGAAAATATTATGAAGCCATGGCAAGTGAAACAGAACAAGCTGCAGGCAAAGGAGACCGCAACTCTCTACCAAACAACTAGATACCTTTCGGGCAAAAGTTCAACACAAATTAAGCCAGTGAAGGATGACAATGGAAAGTCAATCACCAAAGAGGTGGAGCAAAGGAAACACTTGGCTGAACACTTCGAAAGACTTTCACATCGACTGCCACCTACAACGCACCGAATAATATCAACATTGGAAGCAGAACTACCGGTGGACATCAACCCCCCGACGAGAACAGAAGTCCTGAAGGCAATCAAGATGCTAAGAACCGGAAAAGCAGCACAACCAGATGGAATCCTAGCAGAAGCATTGAAAATGGATCCCGAAACATCAGCGGACTTGATTACACCACTTCTGGAGAAAGTGTGGAAAAATGGAAAGGTACCTGCAGATTGGAAGAAAGGCTACTTATTCAAACTACAAAAGAAAGGAAACTTAAGTCAATGCAAGAACTGGCGTGACACTATTCTCCTGTCTATCCCAAGCAAAATACTAAGCCGCATCGTCCTGGAAAGAATCAAACAAGCCCTCGATGAAAAACCTCGACCGGAACAGGCTGGATTCGGGAGAAACAAGTCATGCATTAAACAAATCGCAAAACTACGGGTCATCATTGAACAAAGCTTGGAATGGCAGTCAGCACTCTATCTCAACTTCATCGACTTTTAAAAGGCCTTCGACAGCATCGACTGAGAGGTGATTTAGCAACTACTTCGCTACTACGGGGTGGCGCCAACAACTATACATCTCATCCAACAGCTGTACGACAATGCTGCATGCCGAGTAATCCACGTCGGGAAACTTACGGAATCCCTCGAAGTGAAGACGGGAGTAAGACAAGCTGGCTGCCTACTATCTCCAATGGTTTTCCTGATTGCGGTAGACAGCGGGCAACGAGCAAACAGGCATAAATGGACCCCCACAGAAAACTTGGAGGATCTGGACTTTGCTGATGATATATGTCTGATTTCCTACAAACTGGAAGATATGCAAGTGAAAAACAACAAGTTGTCAGAGGAAGCATCAAAGATAGGACTCCAAGTAAACATAGAGAAAACAGAAGTGATGAAGATTCCTGGCCAACACCAACAGCATCAACAACAACAGACAACAATCAGCATAAATGGGGGAGTCTGAAGGGAGCAACCTCCTTCACTTACCCACCTATGAAGCATCGTTTCAACTACAGGCGGAACTGACGAGGATATCAAAGTGAGGATCGGGAAAGCAAGGCAAGCTTTCATTACTCTCAAGTCTGTGTGGAGATCAACAGCACTCAACATGAAAAATAAGATGCGGATTTTTAACTCCAATGTGAAGTCAGAGACTTGGCGCGCCATAAAGAGCACCTCAAACAAATTACAGACCTTCATCAACATCTATCTTCGCTCAATACTCAAGATCAGATGGCCTGAGAGGATCAGCAATAGGGATCTCTGGCAGTGAACGAACCAACCAGGAACCGATTGTGCAACAAATAAGCAGGAAGAAATGGAGGTGGATTGGCCATACACTGAGGAAACCATTAAGTGACATCACTAGACAAGCCATTGCTCGAGTGGAACCCGAAAAGGAAGCGACGAGTTGGTCGTCCAAAGATGACTTGGAGGAGTTTATGTGAAGAGGAGATGAAAGTATGTGGACAGACTTGGAGCCAGGTGAAAACGTTGGCAGTAGACCGAACCAAAATAACATAACTAGTTCCCCCAAGCTGAAAGATTAAGAAGACAGTACTTACCGGTGCATTGTGTCCTTACAATAAACAGACTTATAGATGACTGTGTAGTAGGAAGGTATGCGAAAAATAGAATTTTTACGTTTTTTCATCACTGATAAATGTCAGTATGATGATCATTGGAATCTAAGTATCAATAAATGACCGTTGTGGCTTAATTTGAGACATTTGAACAAAAGGAACCCAATGCATCACGACTAACAGGTTTCGTAATAGGCACTATCAAGTTATGAACAAGTGATGTATATTTTAACACCAAAATCGTTTTTTTTACTTTTCGCAAATTTATTGCTTGTAGATACGCTGCAACTTTGTTGATAATGGTGAAGTCAACTCACTTTTTGCCAAACAACATGGTGTTCATGTGGGTTATGGTTATCCACGATTTCAATTAGTAGTTAATTCGAAATCAACGTCAACACTTCATTACCGTTTAACTGGTGGCAATATCGAATTTGGACAAAAGAAGTTTAACGATCCTAGTCTAACGAAAATTATAGAAACAGAAGAAATCAAAATATTTTTCAGTAGGCTCCTTCAAGACAAATTATCACCTTTTTACATCAGTGAACTTATCCCACAGGATGATGTTGGAATTCATGACGATGAGAATTTGGCACATATACCTTCATGTAATGTACCTAAAGCATCTCAGAATAAACTCAGGTTTGTACACAAAATAGTTGGAGCAACATTTAACAAATTAGCGCTGAATCCTGAATGGACATCTGTTGTTTATTTTAGTAAGTTATCAGTTATTCAACGTACCTATTTCAAATTTAATGAGTCCCGAAATTCCTTTGGGATTTAATGAGCAGAGTGATCATCCCATTCGGTTATGAACTCATGCACACATTCTGCATAGTTGGTTGTGAACCATTTAGTTAAGTAGTGAGATCTCTAACCTTGAAGTCGGGTAGTTTAAGTGAGAATGTCAACAGATAAAAAGTCTAGATCTCATGTCTCTTGTGACATTCAGTTAGTGGGCTTAATAAATGTATTTTATACTAAGATCGAATTTTACAAGCATTCTATAGCTGTGCTCGAGCACTGCTTATTAGAATTTTTGTAAAGTATTTCAATGGACGAAAAAATAATTATACTATCATATTTTTATAGCTTTTTTTACTGAGATTTTAAGATGATTCGGATCCGTCTCAAATTTAATCCGTGCAATTTTCTCATCAAAACTTACTCAACAAAAAATCTAAGTTTAAAAACATCCTGATGAAACATAACGTTGTAGCTAAAAACAGTCATCAGCTTCTTCGAACGTCAATCACTAATTTAAGGATATGCGTTTTAGGTAGTCTCTTACACTTATATTCACTCTTTTACTATCAGTTACCAGTAATGAAATTATATGCAGTTTCGCTCTTCACAAGACATTCTCTACTATAAATGACTTTAAATGACGTATAAATGGCGTTTCTGTGCAGAGGTTTTGTTCTATCTGACACTCGCTAGTGACCGGCTATAGGATGAAGTTAATTGGTGTTCCAGTGAGAAGTTGTAACCAATGGAGTTCACCAGGTCAGGTGTGAGGACAAACACTCACCAATGACATTGGCTGGTGGTCGCGTTAACATCGGAAATTGGTAAGAGTTGGTATTCTTGGGCCACTGTATCGGTCCCAGTAGCTGATAAACTGCGAGTCCGCCTGCAGCCGGTATGTCTTGGGTCTGAAACCTGGTAAGTGCGTACTGCCGAAAAGTCTCAAACCAGGGCGAACAGCTGAGCAGTACTTCGTGGTTTCCAGTGGTCCTCTCAATGACATCAATCCGTCATCAAACCCGAGACGAATCTAATCCTAGCAAACTAACCCTGGAAACTTCATTCAAAAACTCTGAATAATTCATACATACAATTTTGAGGAAAACATTATGCTCTCAAAGGTTACTTTTAAAAGTCAATCAGTAATTACTTACTTTTTCTTCCTCTATTTCGTATTAAGTTTGACTTCGGTAGCTAGTGTATTAGTAAAAGAAGTTGTACAACTTTTATGAAATGGTAACTAGAAAAGTTAGCTTGGATTCATTTCGCAGTTTGTTATTTTAATTGAATTATAAAGCTTAGAACTGTATACTGAAAAAATATTTTGAACCAAACTGTATCTAAAGCTTTGTCAGGTTCATTATAACATCAGATTGACACGATTTGTATTATGATGACCGTGGACTTTATTCTAAAAATGAATAACTACACGAATAGTATGAGATATCTTGTTAATAGAAGCGTAAATTGATATTTGCGTATGAGAAAGAATGGAATATATAAAAAAGGATCAATACTGAAGAAAGTCATAAACATATCATTTAATTCAACTTTAATGACATATTCAAGTATCAAACATTCTCAAAGAATTACCGGAATCTCTCCCCATAGTGCAAACTGAGTACACTGTTACATCGTAGCATGATGTATGAAAGTATATTTTGTGGTTTTCAGTGAGTTTTCTGAGGAACAGTACTGGAAATGCCCACTTACTACCTTCCTCTCCTAAATAAAGTAACTCGACACTATTTCTCACAGAAGAATCAAACTTGTTAATGCAATCCTTATAAGTAATTATAGATCCCAACTTTAATTAGTACCAGAAGACAGACTAACTACTCTAATAAACCTTTGTCAAAATAACAAAGGATATAAATGCACTATAAATATGTTAATCTTTTCGCAGTTTGTGGTATTTCAGAGATATCCTTAAAGTCCTAGTAATGGTTATACAATATCATCTAGTTGGATAATTCATTATCACAGTACACAAATTTATTCCATTTCTTAAGGGGATTTATGAGTGTGAAAATACATATTACATTCTGTAATTAGCTATAACTGTATCTATCTCTTTTAGTTTTCACTAGTAAGACCTGAGTGTTTTTATTCGAACTTCCATCAGATAGCGTAATAACTTATTTATGCAACATTGCGAGATTTAAAACCTTATTTATTATACATTCCCGTGTGTTTCAAGTAAAAAAGTAATACAACCAATCTTAAATTCATAATCTTTTTGCCTGTTTCATCTTCAACAAAGAACTATGATGAACAATCTCTTTTCAACAAATGAATGTAAATTAGACTTGTAAATAATTACTTAAGTTACTGTTGGTCATCTGATATGTATTTATTTATCAAATTCATGCATTAAACATTTTTGCACTATAGAGAACAAAACTAATGGATTGGATTGTATTATTTATGAAATCATATTATAATAGTCAAGCATTGTATATCATGAACAGATATTTAATAATGATCATAAAATGAATTACTAGCTTTCGCTGTCTACGTGAATTCACTTCTGTCTTTTCTTTGCTCACCATATTATCTATCATGTGACTTGAAAATTTTCTTCGTCTTTCCTTTCTAAACCATTACTAATGCAATATCAATATTTTTAGCGCTTTCTGGCGGAGTCACAAAAAGTATTGCGTTAATATGCTTTTACAAGTAGCCCTATACTGTAGTGTGTTTATGCTGGTGAAAAACTCATATATGTAGCTAAAATTAAAGTTATTCAATGTTTAATAACTTTTATTATTTCTAGTCAATTTCATAATGTAAATTTTATAGCAGCGAATTGGTGTATCGGATGCAATCGAACTATACATGAATATTTTACAAAATTAGCTGAACATTATTATAAACATGGTCGCAATGATTTATTATTCGGTTACTCTAACTATGAGCTAAATGAATATGAAGGGCTGAAAGCCAAAAAAATGCCTAGAATTAAAATTTTTCCTCGGCAATCAACAGAACAGATAGATTTTGAAGGGCCAGAAACGTTTGATCATATCAGGAAGTTTATAGAAACTGTAGAAGTTAATTCTAATTCAAATGAAGTAAGTTTCGAGTTTGTAATTTAATGTGATGAATTAATATCACAATAATTTTTACTTGAATGCCAATCGAATTTACCTATGAGTTGAAGTTAGTTTTCCCTAAACTTCCGTATTCTCTAAATGTTCAATCCGTCTAAAGACAGGTTTTCATAAAAACAGTGAGTAACTGAGGTGTATTTAAATCATATTCAACTATATAATTAAAGTGAATTAAAACAGTTGTCTTACGTATGATGATAATTTCTATTAGGACTAGACAATAGAAGAATATCTGATGAACAAATCACATGATTAGAGTTGATGAATTTTAATCTATAACTCTTCGATATTATGCTGGTCACACTCGAATATCAGTAATTTAGAACCCAGCTCTTTGAAGTGACTGCCACTAAGTAATCAGTAAATTCTACAGACTTGCTTTGAGTTCTGCTACTTAAAATTTAATAGTACCAATCATTTCCATTTTCTGCAGTCACTGTTTTACCTTCTACTTATTCTGTTTCTCTCATATATTCCTACATTTCATCTATCAAACAGTCAAAATGAACATCGTGGATTCAAGAACATAATTACGTTGGTCCACGCTTTTACATCTGTTATAAGACAGAAAAACGAGGCATTAGGCAAGTACATGAATAATAAGTTAGGCTTCAGGAATTTAGAAAGTGGTAATAGTTTTAGATGCCTAAACCATAATAGATATCGTCTCCAACCTCGAATTTCATATAAAAGCCACTGATAGAATTTGTTTTACTTCCTTTCAGCACTATATAGCGTAAACAATGCATTTCAATTAAAGGTGTTTTTCAGTTAAATGCATTTCTTCTTTTTACCTCCTCTACTGAAATAGCCACATTGTAGTTACTCTGAAAAATATTTGGTGCAAAACGCCTATAAGGAAGACGTTTTTCTTCGAGGAAGAACAGCAGAAAGTACAGGATACTAACTGACTGATGAAAGAATTATATATTTTATTTCCTTGTTCATGTCTAATTTCCTTTATACATCTCACTGAAATTTTCCACTGTACTCTACTCTAAACTTTTTATCCATCTTATGCATATTATTACGTAGAGTAGTGAGGAGCAAGTTGAAATTATCAGCTCTTTTGTACTGAAGTATAGTGATTATTTCCACTAATGTATTGTCTACATGTTAATTACTGTTTGCGCCTAATAACTGCCTGTTTGCATTACAATTAATTCTGCCGAACACGAATTTTTTTCCTCGACGTGCTGTTGTTTGCCTTACTGGTATTTAGCCATTGCTAATTAAAATTTAAAAAAGTATTAAATCACCGAAAGTGCACATTGAGTCATGAAGGAAATTCAGCGAAGAAAAGTTTTGTTACGGACGAGGTTGTACAGTCATAAAAATAAAAGTTACAAATTACGTAATACTCACCAGTGCAAAGGAAAAAAGAGTTAGAAATTGGATAAGGCTAAAATTGTTACTTAATGAGAAGAAAGGTAGCTGAGTGTTGATTTAAAATTTGTGAAGAGGGTGCGAAAAAGTATAAAAGGAACACGTAAGAATGATAACAGTAAAACAAATATTAAAGTAAAGACGAAGTAACCATTAAAAATAAAAAATTTTTACAGGGAACGACTAATGAAGAGGCTAAGACCACTGTAGAATAAGAGACTGAACAAACGTTGTCTGTACACAGTATTCGAAGTTGTATTGACGAACTGTCAACGTCTCCGCCATGCACAAATACCGAAACCTAGCACCCATTATACTACTCAGTCTCGTCTTTTAGATAATTTAAAATGGCAACTCTGGTATAGCTGCGTGGCTTGAATTCATCAAGTGCTCGAAAATCGATCTAGTAAATGTCTTGAATTGTCCTTTTGCTAACTATGCCGGGTAATGTTCAGAGATGCATTTGACAAGTTTGAGCTTTGTGCGGCCAACATAACTAGCTCTGCAGGAGCAGATGAATTTATAAACACACATTAAAGTGGTCCAAAGCGGCAGTTTATCCTTTGCAAATCTATTGATCATTTGTCGGTTGTAAAAATTGATCCGCAGCTCAGCCACAAAGAAGGCTTTTCTCAGTGATCTTGATAAGCGGTCCTCAATAATCTCAGCAGCGTTATCACCCTTAAATTCAACATTCATAAATAGCAGTTTCTTGGGCACCGTTTGGTTATTTCGCGTTTTCGCTTCACCTTCATATTTTTCTTGATGGATCTTGAGGATATCCATTTTCCATGGGGACTCGTCTGAGACTCCCTGGTTCACCACCGATTGTATCACTGGCACATATCCTTCTTATTCTTGAGGACATGGGGTGGATCATATTCCTCTTCCTTCTCAAAGGGACCCAACTATGAAAATTGATGTATTGACCATTCCATGTTGGTTTCCTGTAGATCGATCTTTGAAGAGGGCCATCAGATCAGAACATCCCAAAAATGGAATTCCGAGTTCATCTCTGATTCCGATGAGAACTGAATGACATGATGGCAGTTGCTGAACTCCTTAGTTATCATTTCTATGATGAAAGTATCATCCATATATCTTTGATAGATATGAAAATTGCCGATAGTAGGTCGTAACATGCTACTCTCTAGACTTGCCAAGAAGCAGTCTGAAAGTAAAGGAACAAATGGCAACACCCTTGCCACTTTATCTCTTTGTCTTAGAGAGGGTTACTGAACTTGAACTGGGGATTAAAAGCTCTTCTAAATAGTAGTTCCTTTAAGTGGTGAATCAATGCACCTACGTCTTCTGTATTATCCTCGATGAATTCGCATATAAAGCAAATAAGCTCACTGAGAGGAACATTAGTGAAAAGAAACGTGACATTCATGGATATCAATTTCTTCCCGGACATATGAGCATCAAACACTGAATCGACGAATTCAAATAAACATTAAGTACTGCAAAAGTGTAATTTGCCTTCGCTGTGTCTGTTTTCAAAGTTGACAATAAATGATATGATATGCAACATAAATAACTTAAACAGTCTCTACTTAGTAGACTTGTTGATAATACCTAGTCTATTTTGGTACCAAAGCAAGTTTTCAATATGATCAAACTCAGGTATCACAATTATCATCGCAGTGCCTTTTGGCCATCTATTCAATGTTAAATAACTCAAAACCTCTATTTGACTAAGATTATAAGTGGGATGAAATGACCTAGCTGGGGATCTGCTCCGATGAGTGTAACAGCTGAGGTGAAATGGGGACTCTTTTATAAGGTGGATCATATGGTTCACTGAGTACTGTGGCTGACCCATAAGTCTAAGATAAAAAATATTATAAACATGGATACAATGACATTCTACTGTCTGGTGAGCCACTTGCTATGTACTCTGTAATTAAGGTTACCGTCTGGTGACTGATGGCACACTTACGTGAAGCCTTATACCTATGGTGCTATTTGATTTTAATCTACAGGCTATCACTTTCACCTTATTTCCTTTTAATTTCTTTTTTTATTCCTTCACGTTCCCAGTGGAACATAGGGCTTCCAGCTAGAGGCTTGAAGTTTCTGTGGCAGTGTTTATTTTTTTACAGGATGATATTGCTAGCCTCATGCCCAACCTTTCCTCTTTACCAGCTTTGTGTTCTTGGCTTAGCGAGGTAAAGGAGTGCGTCGGCCGGGAATCGAACCTCGGACCATGTGTATGGTCGGTGAGCGTCCTAACCGCTGTGCCACCGATGCACTTTAATTTCTATTAGACTTATTAATTGTGTATTCTTTGAATTCCTTATTAGCGATCATTGATAATTAAGTGACTGGTATAAGAATAACAGGTTAAAATTTTGACTCAGCACACATAGGATAACACACATAACACTACACAAGGCGTATCATCTTTGAAAGATGGAAGGACACTGTCGCGCCAAAGCAAAAAGTCAGTGGCAACAAACCTGATTTGTCTGACAGGTCGCCCATTTCCTACAATGTGAAGAAATCCCTTGCTTCAGACCCCATTACCAGGTCCGAACATGACCTCAGCCTAATCGGACTAGTTCAGACAAGCTACTCCCTAAAACAGTAACAGGCATTAGGATTCACAGTTTGTATAAAATCGGCCAAAAGTTTGAATCAACAATAAATCAGTTGATGAGCATTCTTAAAGACAATATTAAATTCAAATACTGAGACAGATGAAACTCTGAGAAATGCTCATACTCTTAAGTGAATGAACATCTACATCTGTAAAGACTTGTGTCTAGTAAACCTTATCAAATGACAGTTTGCTGCCTGGAGTTAAGTGAACGGAGCAGTAACGGTAGGGAAAACCTCATAACTAAGTGTTTTTGGGCAGTGAAATTTCGAAGTTTCAGAATTCCCAAACATGTATGCGGAGAATGCGGAAGCAGCAAATGAACTAATGGTTTTCTAAACTAAAGCCGGTAATCTGTTGAATAAATAGACTGAGCTGGGTAGTATAGTACACTCGTAAAATCTGGATTTCATCGCAATTACGGAATCAAGGTTAACATCCGAAATCAGCGGTAGGGAAGCTAACTTTGAAGACATCATAGTGCATAGGGCAGAGCGATTTAACTACAGAGAGGGTGGAGTTACTATTTACTTCAAGCTATGCCACAGTTGCGAAAGGTGTGGAAAGAAGGATACCTCCTGATCAGAATAAATCTTACTTTCTGAAATTTCTAAAAGAGGGCATCGTGAGCCTGTTCAGTAACTGCTGCGGAATCGTGCTGCAGTCATCTCCAAGCAAAATGTTAACCGATCATCCTGGGAAGACTGTAAGATTCCACGAATGGAAAACTCCGCCCAGAACAGGCGTGATGCAGGAAAATAAAATCATGCGTGTATCAATCATCCTGCATCTGGTTGACTGGATCATGTGAAAGACCACGGAGATGAGAAGACAAATTTACGTTGGACTGAAAAACAGACCCTAGGAGATCTAGATTTCGTGTATGGTTCATCTGTCGTGGTCATAAACTCGAGGATTTGTAAATGAAAATCAACAAGTTGGTAGGGGAGACAGCGAAGACAGCAATTGAGGTAAACATTGAAGTGATGAAGATACC